TTATAGCTCTACCCCTTATTACCTTGCCTCTTTATTATCTTACCTCTGTATAGCTTTATCCTGTTATTACCTTACCCCTTATAGCCTTACTTCGTTATTGTCTTATCCCTTATTGCCTTACCCCCTTATAGCCTTCTCCCCCTTATAGCCTTCTTATCCTTATAGCCTGACTCCCTGTTGCTTTACCCCTTAATACTCTTACCTTTATCGCCTTACTCCTTATAGCCTTATTTGACTTCTAACCTTTGATCCGGCACAAAGAAACAGACAGATAGACACTGAACATTATATATATAGATTGTTCACTAACAACTGAACCATCAGTAGGACAAACACGAATATTTAAAACTGTATGTTTAAAATTATAGCTTTCTTGTCCAACTCTAATAGATCTTTATTTTATGTATAAAATGGTTTGTTTTTGCTTCATTTTCATTTTTCTAATGAAAGATTTTGATTTTATTATAGAAACTTCATCAAATACATGCTGAATTATCTATATAAGGTTCATATTTTGAAGCATCTTTTCCATTTTCAACAACGTAATCCAGATGATTTTGATAGAAATTTATTTATGCATATTAAATAACCAATTATTCGTACTAATCTTAGATTTTCACAATTAGTTAAAGCTAATGAAATCGATGTAAGAAAAAATATATTTAGTTCAAAATAAAGAAAATTTCCCTTACGGACAAAGTTTTGAATGTTTCGACAACAAAAACATTGGTCGAAATCATTCTTAAACGACTATAAACATCTTTATTACGAGCAGTTATTATCTTCATGATTGTATGTCAGATTCTACAAGTTGAAAGAATTGTTCGATTTTTGTCTTTAGTATTCAATGAATGCATGCAAAGAAAACGAAGAAACGAATATAATATTGTATAAGGATATAATTATTCCACACATATGAATACTTTTATTATGAAATTTTTACAAGAGAAAATCTTGAAAAATTAAATCAAATCACAGTTTTTTTTTTTGAACTCTATTGTATGTAGTCACTCATGAGTATATACGCGTTTCACATCCCTTATCCTTTTTTTTTTTTTTTGGTTAAAGATTTAAGTAAAATAATGCTAATAAAACTCATAGTCTTGGATAAATATACATCGACTTTTAAGATGAAAGGATTACAAATCTAATGAAGAAAGTTTTTCAAGTATGAATCATCAATCGATCTGATATTTTGTTCACAAATGAAGTTCAATGAAACTATTATAAGTCAAGAAGGGTTTGTCTCTATGTGCGCTGTTCTACTCGAGTTATGCCCATTTTTACTTTTGGTAAACTATTCATGAAAATCATAAATGACGATATTTTGAATCTAAAATTTTGTTCATAGACAAGTCTCTGTGATTAGTAGAATAGTTTAAAAGTTTCAACCTAAAGAATATGTTCTTCTTAATATATTGAATATTTCAAAACAGATCAGAAAATCAATCCTCTTCAACATTCAATATTTCAAGAAGAATGAATTCTTTTGAGTTGAAGCTTTCAGAATATTTTTTTAGTGATTACAAGACCCCTGTCTATTGGCAAAATTTTGGATCGAAATACCGACATTCTAGTTTTTTATGAATCCTTTGCCATTGATAAAATAAGAATTCAGTAAAATAGTAATAACTCTAGAAGGATAGTACACAGAGACGAACTATTTTAGGTATTTACTAGTTTCATTATACCCTATTTAAAAATGAAATATCAAATTGATCTGCAATTCATACCTAGAGGATCTTTCCTCACAAGAGAAATATATAAAAGAGATTTCTATAATTTTTTCTAAATTAATTATATCAAATTTGTTGCTTGCATATCATATCTAATTTAATAAACTTTATTATAATTACATTTATACAACTAGAATTATTATCAATGAACAACTTCGATGAGATTAATTTGTATCAAGTAGATAAAAAGATCTAATATTAACAATGTTCTCTCTTCTTATTCAAAAATCAATCAAATACGTTTTCAGCTTCGTATATTTTTAAAAATTATTGACATATTTCTATTTTATATTTCGAATGAATATATAATGAATAAAATTAATTTCTTTTTATTAAGATCAATATTCATATACATTATTCTCGTATATGGAATTTCATTCAAGTATGATCTGTTGTTGTGATTACAAAAAATAAAAACCTCAAGTTTATTTTGCATTTGAACATAAATGTTTTGTTTTTTATTTCAAATGTAAATTAATTAATTATTATTTTTTTATTATTCAAAAAAATGAATATTTAATTATTTTATAGTTTTACTTAATAATTAATCTTCATCAATACTACCTGATATTTATGTATTTATTTGTACTATTTATTTATGATATTAAATTAGAAAATGATCATTTGGAATTTTTAATATCATGTTATCAAGAGATATTGGATTGATTCTACAAATAGGAAATAATCGAAAAACCACAACAACCAGCGGAAAACAATACATAAATATATTTTCTTTTAATATTATAAATTGTTATTATTATTTTTTTTTGTTGTTTTGTTTTTAAACTTATATCTCAGTTTGTGTTAAGTTATTTTCATTAACATATTCATTACCATTTTTGAAATTTTGTCCGAAAATTACACCAATGGATATAACAATTGAAGTTTGTTTTATTTGAATGAAAAAATAATTTTCTTTTTTTTTTTAATAATAATTTTGATTTTTATATTAGATTGATAATGTTGTTGCTCATCTTGTTATACCAGAACATGATCGAATATATTATATTTTAGAAGGAATTGATTCTCATGAATGATTTTATACACTAAATTGGGTTAAATCTCAATTGACTTTATCAGATGAATTTGAGAAATGGTAAATATAACAAAATGTTTAATCTATTTTAAACTGAGGAATAAAAATGAATTCTATATCATCTTTCGAAAATGTAGTTGTTTCGTTTTTTTTTATATAAATAATTATCATTGAAGAATGCATTAGAAGAATAGTTTATTACAAATCTTTTAGATTCGACTATAATCTAAATTTCATCAATTAAAGTTTTTACACTTCAATATGATAAAAATGCTTTCAATGATGAATATATTTTAGATATTGTTCTTTGTCAAATTGATCACATCAGATGTCAGTTTTTTTTTAACTTGAATTCAATCGAGAAAAGAATGTCCAATGACTATCATGTCAATCTATACATTCTTTGAAAATTTTCGTGTATTTAAAACAGTAGTTTATATGATTGTGTCGAGATCGTTCTAGCGGTAAAGTTGCACTGCCACCAAAAGCTAAAAAATTTTAAACTTTTCCAGCTGGCGCCGCTGATTAATACATTGACTTATATTGCTAACTTTGACAATTACTGTATACTGTCGATATACGTATATACCGTGATGGATAAATGTTTATGATAATATTTCATGAGGCAAGGTTTTTTGCTCTATACTTTATAAAATCATTCATTACTTCGCAAAATCACTTCAACTATCGAATTAATCAAACAAATGCGAAACCTGTTCATGTACTAAAGTTTAAATTCGAATTGATGGAAAATATTGAAAGAAAAGAAATGTTTGTAAACTTTTTATTTAAATTATTTCATGTATTACTGCTTATGTCAGATTAATTCAACTTTAACATCTATAGTCATATATTAAACAAAAAAAATTTCAACAATAAACACATTCTTCTCATCCTCCAGAATAGTTTCGCTTTATTTGATAATTTATCTCGAAGCATAAAGTACATTATTAATCGTAGAAATGAGACTGTAACGTCTACCGTCACAATCTATATATTATAATGTTCTGTGTCTGTGTGTGTGTCCGTGCCAGGTCAAAGGTTAAAGGTCAAATAAGTCTGCAGGGGAAGGTTCCCAAGGACTTATTATGGGAGATCCATAGGTCCTCAAAGGCTATTCTATGGGGGACTCATAGATTCTCAAAGGCTATCCTATGGAGCACTCATAGGTCCTCAAAGGTTATCCTATGAGAGTACTCATAGGTTCTCAATGGCTATCCTATGGGGATAGCCATAGGTCTTCAAGAGCTATTATATGGGAGTACCTATAGGCCCTGAAGGTAGTAAGAAAATCATCTATATATAATGTTCAGTGTCTGTCTGTGCCAGGTCAAAGGTTAAAGGTCGAATAAGAGTATAGACAAGTAATGCTATAAGGAGTAAGTCTATAGAGGTATCGATTGTATGAGGGGAAGATAAATCTATAGAAGGGTAAGGCTATAACATGGTAAAGCTATAAAGAGATAAGACTACAGAGAGGTAGGGCGATAACTGGGTAAGACTATAGAGCGAGAGGCGATAAAGGAGATAAGGCTAAAAAGGGTTACAACTATAGACGGATAAGTCTATAGAGGGATGGGCTATAAAGGATGTAAGGGCTATAGAGTGATGGACTGTAAGTACTATGGGGTATAGCTATAGAGGAATGAACTGTAAAGAGAGTAAGGCTACAACAGATTAAAGCTATAAATGAATAAGATTACAGAGGAGTAGGGCTATAACTGAGTAAGGCTATAGACGGATGGGATATAAAGGAGGTAAGATTATAAAGGGGTAAGACTATAAAGGGGTAAGACTGTAGAGGCTTAGATCTATAATGGGTAAGAATATAGAGGGATAAGGCTATAAGGGTCTAAAGCTATAGAGAGCTAAGCTATGGATGAGTAAGGCTATGACGCCGTAGGACTTTTCTATATATTATATTGAGTGTGTGTGTATCTGTGTTACTGAGTGAATAATTAAGAGTTTGAGGACATACATTAGAATAAAAAAAAAATCGTACTGTAGTATGCACGGATTCTCGCTAGTCATATTAAATTATTGAATTTATATTCTAAAACAATGACTAAAGATATTAGAATTTAAGAACGTAAACTGATTAAAACATAAATAATATTCGATGAGACCATTCAAATAAGTAGTTAATGAGCATTTCCGCATGCAATATTTCTTATTAAATTCGTACGACTTATCAAAATGTTGAGTTATTTGAATACCTTTTTATGTCTTTTATTTTCAAGTGATAGCTTCTTTGATTGTAGTGAAGTTCCTAATATAAAAATTTTTATTGAAAATTATTCTTCATCCTACATCACCATTTGATACAAATACGTAGGTCTAATAAAAAAAAGCAAATATTTCTCATACATAATATGATCATCAATTTTTTTTTAACAGATCTTTTATATGTTCAGCATGTAAAATCAATGAGTAATCGTCAAACATTTCATCCAAATAAATTAGATTATGATGTATTTAATATTAAAATTAATATTGGTCCTATTGATTTATTTGTACATGATTTATTTTTTATAAAAGCTTTGATGAGTAAAAGTAAGTTTACTTTTTTTGTTTTCTATTATTCATTTTAATTTTATTTACGAAGGAAAATATATTTGGTTTGAATCAAATGTATCATGATATTCATGAACCAGATACGATACGTGAAAAGAAAATCATTGTATATGATGATTCATTAGTTGATATTATTGATGAAATTTATCTATTTGATCCAAGATATTTTCGACCATTAATGGCTACTTTACGTGTTGCACTTCATAACTATAACAGCTGATCTTGTTCATGTAAATGAAATTTTATTTTATTGGTTTTTTTTTGATAAAAGAAATTTTTGTTTTTTTCTTTCTAGCATACTGATAATGAATCTTGTCCGATAGCTTTTTGTGAACGACTTTGCTTTGAAATAACAACTGATCTAGATGAAACAAGATTACAAGTACTTTTTCTATCAATTAATGTTTATGTTGAACATACAATTGTTGTAAATATAGAAATAATCGATCGAAATCATTGAAGTTTTTAATTAGTTGTTCATATTAAACAATGCAATATGTATGTTAGATACTATTTATAACAATCTAGAATAGTATATATATCTTGCAAGGAGTTATAACTTCACATGCTCATGTTAATTTTTATTGAAATAGTTTTATTTTAACTTCTAAATAGATCAAACAATGATGTAATACTAAAATATCGAGTGTTTCCGATAGAGATCGATATAACCAAAGTTTGATTACAAAAAACTTTTAATATAGCTATATAATGACTGCTTTTCATTTTTTACAATTCACATAATTTATTATGAGTGAGTAATTCTAGATTCGGACTTTTTTCAACTTTCACTTCACTCTTCTCTCTCTTATCAGCATTTGTCTTAATAGTAGTACTTCTTCTATTGCTTCATCTAATTCGTATTAAGAACTAAACTATACTCTTCTTAGAAAATCTTTTTATAATTAAATCACATAAATTAATATTGGATGATTCGAATAGAGTAAGACTAACAGCAGGAACCTATTAGAGGAGATTTATAAAATCTGATCTGCTTTATAGTCTAAAGTGATCTATCATTAAAAATAATGAATTGAGATAATGCATTTAGGATTTTATTTTTCAGTTTGTGAAAAACATAATTCTCTAGCTACAGAGAGAGAAAATAAATCTTTCAGTATTTTAATGATATTTTGTTTATTTCTCTATGAAACAGTATAGTTTTTATTAATGTAAATAGCATCAATCATTTTTCAAATCGGATAGTTCATTGGGTTTAAACTTGAGTTGGTTGATGATCAATGGCTGTTGATTATGAAAATGAGAAAATTGTCTTAGCAGCAGCACTGTTGAAGTGTAAATATGAGTTTTAAATTATTCGAATGAAATGTCCAGTCTAACATCAATGCTTACTTTCGATAAAGGAGCATTGAAATATAGTAATGAGATCTTCTGAAACATTGTCTGTGTTAGAAGGACGGTATAAAACTCTCACCTTTATTATACTTCAAAAATGGTGCTGGAACTATTTACTTACTTTTATTATCAATAACCGATTTGAGATGATTTTGCTCATATTATCAATTAGACAGGCGCCATATACAAAGAAATTTTACGAAGAATTGAAAATGTTGTTAAAAAAAGCTTTTTTTTTTTACAAAATTATTCATCTTGGAGTGTTTGTTTCAAGTATGTTTTTGAAAAATAATGGATGCTATTTACATCAATTAAAAAAAAAATTATTTTATTGAAAATTAATTTCTCAAGATCATCCAATAATTTCAATTAATCTCATAAATTGAATGTGAAATAATGCATAGACAATTTCAACATGTCGATTAGACTCGAGTGACAAAATAGTTTAGTGTATATATATATTATATATATATACATTCAATTCAATACTGCACAGTATATCAAATGTCGATAAAACAAATTCCCTATTATAATGTCTTATAACTGCTGCTTTTTTCAAAATGAAGATATCTCTATGAATGAATGAGTGATTCTCCTGTCTATTCTTGTGATACTTTGTGAGAGATCATTGAAATAATTTGAATTGTTTTTGAAATTTGTTTTTTAATACAGCGAAATAAATCAGATCAACATTTATCTACTGCACTTAAATATGCATGGTAAATGGAAATTATACTTGACAAAATTTCAGCCCGTGCAATATCAATCCAACTAATTCAAAATAAAAAAAAAAAGAAAATAATTTCAAAATTTTGCTTTTTAAATCATATCTTGTTGTTTATTAGATAGAAAAATTAATTGGTTTTGTAAAAAAAATTTTATTTAGAAATCATGGAAGATGAATATACACTTGTACGTTCACCTGTTATTGATAAAGCCAAATGAATTGAAAAACTTAAATATTATGTTCTTCGATTCAGTTTGGATTCAATTGATCTTAATCTTGTTGAAGTTAGCAATTCTCTTAACATACAAGTTAAAAAAGGCTTTATAGAAATCCTTACGAGATTAAAAATGTGAAACATGATGTAATTGCTCTTGCTAATCACAAGAAGATTGCTTTATTCTATCTATTTTGGGATACATTTCTTCACTATTCTTGTACTTAATCCTTCAGAACTATTTCATATATTAGAACGAGACGTTATTCACATACAGTCTGTGATGATTAGGCATGTACCGAACATTCAGGTTCGGACTTGACGATGACGATCATCTTCAGACAATTAATAAAAACAAGTAGAAATAAATCAAAAGAAAGCATTTCAATCTTGGCTATCATAGATCTACACATAGTGGAATAAATGATCCAAACGCCGAAGATTTGCAGGCATACTAAAAACAGTCAACAATGTTCAGAAATACTCGAATTCAAACTTAATCGAACCTTAGGATGCTTCAATGATTGTCCATATACCTTAAGAAACGCTTGACAATTATCCAAATATTCGACACTGTCTGAACTAATTAGATAGTTTCCGTATCTAATCTCGAATCCGAACCGTTCATCCCGAAAATCGAGTCCGAACTCGGGTTCGGTACATGCTTAATGATGATCTCTGATTGGCGGCTGTCATGGTGTGTGGACGAAGGAGGGGATCCAATTTTTTACCACTATACCTCAACTACTAGTGTCCTGCACGAGTAAGATTTTTTGCATCCGAACCTCCTCGACCAGACCTGACTGAGAGCTAATCGGCATCCGGCATATACTTTCACAGCTATAGTACAATTTTCAAACTTTTACTTTATATGAAAAAGTATACGGTTTAGTTTTTTTTTTATAAGCAATAACAAAAAACTAAATCATCTCAAATTTCACAAAAAAGGCAAATGATTTAAGATTCAGTTGATATCTTTGCGCATCTAAAATGCGATCAATTTTGCTAAGTATATGTTTGCCTGTTGCTGATGAAACTAGAATGAAACGTAGTGTTCATATCAAATATCATAAATGTGGATATATCCATGAATGTTTTTTTTCTAACTCGATAATACATGTTCACATTTTTGATAGTTCATTTTCTTCTCCATATATTCAATTACTTCGTCATATAGTTCATCATTATCATCTGTAGATGAATTTTCATTAAAAACGAATTATTTTAGAAAAAAAACAAAAATATCACTTCCCATTTCTATGGCCTATTCTCAAGTACAATAAATTGTTCAATCTTGATCAAACCAGTCATCATACTTATGCTTTTATATAAATAAAAGTTTGAAAAAGTAAAAAATATTTTCAAACATCGAGATCTCATTAATTGCCTTGTCAGGTTTCGGATTTGATCTCAAATGGTGACTCGACCCGTTTGCTGGATGTTAACTTTTACATACTCTTTTTTTTTTGATCATGTTTCACAAAAAAAAAGATCCTAAACATTTCTCTCATGCTCTTCATTATATTTTACTATTTATCAGATTGCATCCATTCGTTTATGCATGTATAATATGCATAAAATAACTTGCAATGAAAGTTTAACTTTAAAAGTTTGTACAATTCAAATTCGACAATTATTACATCTCTACCCAAGTTCATGATGAGAAGTTGGTTCTATTTATATTTCTGAATTATGTATTAATGCTAAATTTGAATGTCTTTTACCAACAGCAGCTAATGTAAATGAACAATTAGAATTTCTTTATCGATATGATCAACATTCTCAACGACTATATTTTCTTTATAATAGAAAACTACAACAAACATTAAATATACCATTAGCAACATTAAATTTAAAATGTCCATCAAATGTTGATTTATCAATAAATCTAAATATATTATCATGTGTATATTCCAGTGTAGTTCATCAAATTATTATACACTTGTGGAAAGTGAACAATTTTTTAAAAGTTCATTTCATTTTAATGAATAAACATCATTTAGACATTCATTATTTCGACCTGATGTATATGTTTTACAATTACATTTCATATTTGAACATAAATATAATTGAAATAATTATGAACATTTAACGATATCAAATAATGAATTAGATGATGAAGAAATTTTCTATCCATTTGATTTTTATGCACAACCAAAACAATCTAATGATTGACATGATCATTTAAATGATAATTAATTATGTCATTGTATACCAGCAAATATATATGTATATTCATTATCACGTACAAATTCAGCTCGAAATATAACACATAAATCAACTATTGATCAAAATGGACATAAGTATTCATCATCATCAATACCATTACGGCATACTGTTGGTTCATCATCATCAACAACAACAACAAATAATCGACCACGTTTATCTATTGCATCAACAACATTTCTAACTGGTTCATTAAATATAATTACAACAGAAAGAGAAGTATGTCTTCGATTTATTGATATATTCAATATATTTTTAACATCACTTATTCTTGAATGTTTAACAACATATATTGAAAAATGTAAAACATTTGATAATCATTCAATATCTATTCTTGATGGTCTTCATATTCAAGCTCAAACACAATCAAATTTTTCAACGCTCTCAATTGATTTATCAGCAACAAAAATTTCTTTATAATTACCAAAAAATAAATATTTGTTTATTAGAAGCTGGTTTAACTGAAGATAATGTTCAATTAATTGAATTACAAACATCAGTTGATATTGTTATTGTGTCATTATTTGCACTTTCATGTAAACAAATTCAAAAGAAAACAACAATTTTATCTAAATCTGGTCAATCAACAGCTGATCTCTTTAAAATTCAATCAATAATAAGACAATTTCATCGTTTTGAGAATGTTTTTTTTTCTCTTCAATTGAAAATATTAATATTCATGCTATACAATCTCAATATTGTCGTTTACAATTTTGTTTATCAAATGAAATTCAAATACATTTACCTATTGATGATAATCGAAAAAAAATTTTGGTCTTGTTATGAATGAATTTGATTTACAACGTTTTTGTTTTAAATTAATAAATAATGCAGCAATACAAGAACAACAACAAAGAAAACTTATTTCATCAACAATGATACAAATTGATAAAACACAAACAACAAGAATTTTCATCAAAACATAAATCAAAAAGAAAACAATCAAATGAAATAAATTAACAGACTATCATCAGAAAAGTCTATTTATAGATAATGGAAATAGTTCTTCACGAAAAACAAAAAAAATGTTTAGATCAATGCTTTTGACATTCAGAATAAGTTGTTTGATTAATCATGAGATCAGAAAAGTTTTTCAGGACACGATATTTTATTTTTATGTTTTACTCATAAAAACAAAATAAGAGCAATCTATATATATGTCAGCGTCCAAACTGAGATTACGTCCAATCTCAGATTGGCCTAGGCGAATGTCGGATCCGAGATTGGACGCGTCCAATCTCGGATTCACGCAATTCTGTTTATTAAAATATCAATTACCCTTTAGACAGACCTTGGATTCAAACTCTTTTTTTAAAATTATGTTCACACAATGCCGTTTTAAGTATTACAAACATTTAGGAAGAAGCTAAATTTAGACTCAAAAATGTAATAAAAGTTTTTCACAAAAGTTGTTGTTCTCTAGAAATTTATTCATAACTCCTAAAATTTTATTCAAATCTGCCAAATGACAATTGTGCCAAACAAACTGGCATTGTGTGAACATAATTTCAAAAAAAAGTTCGAATCCAAGGTCTGTCTAAAGGGTAATTGATATTTTAATGAACTGAATTGCGTGAATCCGAGATTGGACGCGTCCAATCTCGGATCCGACATTCGCCTAGGCCAATCTGAGATTGGACGTAATCTCAGTTTGGACGCTGACATATATAAAGAAGAATGTTTGTCTGTCTGTTTGTTTGTTTGTTCTTCATGCATTTGGACACGGTACGAGCAAATGCTATGAAACTTTCCAGAAATGGTCTTTACACCTAGGAGAAGGTCGACATGTATTTTTTTCCAAAAAAAAAACGAATCCTACGCATGCTACAGGCAACCTAGAAAACTGACCAATAGGATTGCAGCATTCGGTACCATAGAACTACTACTGAGCTCCGCTTCGTGAACATACAGAAAACATGAAACCAGACGTTTTCAAGGGCGGTGAGTTCGAATCTGAGGTCCAATGGCCTCGAAATCTGATTGGTTGTTTGGAAACCAACAGAAATTCAGCTCTTATAAAAACAGAGCCAGACATGTATACTTTGAAAGAAAGGATGGAGTACAGGGTTTTTCGAGGCGATGAGTTCGGATCTGAGGTCCGATCGCCTCGAAATTCGATTGGTTGTTCGGAAACCAATAGGAATTCAGCTCTTTAAAAACAGAGCCAGACATGTATACTTTGAAAGAAAGGATGAGGTACAGGGTTTTTCGAGGCGGTGAGTTCGAATCTGAGGCCCATTCGCCTTGAAATCTGATTAGTTGTTTCAAGACCAATAGGAATTCAGCACTTCAGCAACCGTTCCAAAACGTATATACTTCCAAGAAAAAAATAGGGCACAGGGTTTTTTGAGGCGGTGAGTGTGAATCTGACATCCATTCGCCTCGAAATATGATTGGTTGTTTGGAAACCAATAGGAACTCAGTTCTTAAGAGAATCGACCCAAATGCTTATACTTTGAAGGAAACGATGGGGCACGGGGTTTTTACAGGCAGTGAGTTTGAATCTGAGGCCCATTCGCCTTGAAATCTGATTGGTTGCTTGGAAACCAATAGGAACTCAGTTCTTAAGAAAATGGGCCCGAACACTTATACTTTCAAGAAAATAATTGGGCAAGGGGTTTTTTAGAGGTAGTGGGTTCGAATCTGGGGTTCATTCGTCTCGAAATCTGATTGGCTGTTTGGCAACCAACAGGAATTCAGCCCGTAAGAAAATGGACTCAACCACTGATACTTTCATGAGAATGACGAGGCAGGGAGTTTTAGACGTGATTAGTTAGAATCTGAGGATCGCTCGCCTCGAAATCTGATTGGGGGTCCGAAAGCCAGTAGGAAATCAGCTTTCATGAAGCCAGCTAATCAAAATTATGTGGTCAAGAGAAGAGTTAGTTAAGGGCTTTCTGGGGCAATGAGTTCGAATAAGGGATTCAAGTACTGAATGAGTATAGGGTATGGAAGCCCGTTTCTTCTTCTGTTTATACAAACAACGACGTCTGTTTTCCACTTCTTTGTGCATTTGATGTCGGTAATAACTAGCGCCATCAAACTTTCTCTGGCATCCCCCTTAGTCTAGAGAAAAATTGAGACGATGTTGACGCGACAAGCAAGGAAAGAAAGGCAAGTGGGCCTAACTCTACCCAGGTTGTAAAAGTAAAAAATTCCTTAATCTCTATCTTTATCTTTAATGTACGTTACGAAAAAGAATTCTGTCAGGCTGTGCAAAGAGTGACCATGTATTCATACCGGGAACAGTCATGGCTCTTACTGATATACCGTTTGAGCATAAGCGTCTTCAGTTACTTATACCTGCTGCTTTCGCGATGTCTAGCAACAACGCTGAAGAGCAATTGTTTAAGGTGGCTGGTATTAATCTAGAGAGTATTTCCTTTTCTCATGATAAACTGAACGTAGTATGCTTGAGAGTTGGAATTGGAAAGAATTTCTATGTTTTAGCCCTTGATACGAAAACCAAGAAGTTTGTGTATCAAACAGCCTTGCAAAGGACTTTGTATTTCATTAAAGAGTCTTTTATAATAAAAGAAGTCGATCAAACAAAAAGAATACTGAAAAGGATAGAAATGTTTTTAAAAAAATTAAAAATGACGAAAATATCAGCTGAAAACAGAAAGTGATTTGAGCATATTTTGCGATATCAAATTCCAAAAATTGATAGGAGATCATAACGACATTGTTTTCTAATATGTCACGTATATATTATTAAATTATCTCGACTAACATCGGGTACCTCCGCTAGTATCTATATATATATAAAGAAGAAAGTTTGTTTGTCTGTTTGTTCTTCATGTATTTGGACACGGTACGAACAAATGCAACGAAACTTTTCAGGGACCATCCTCTCATCTAGGAGGAGGTCAACGACTACTTTTTCTCGAAAAAACATCAGTCCTCCGGCTGCAACCGGCCCGCCTATGTATCTGACCAGTGAGATTGCAGCATTCGGTAGTATCGGAGAACTACTGACCCGTACGTTGTGAGCAAGCACAAGACATGTACCTAGGGGTTTTCGAGGGCGCTGAGCTCGAATCTGCGGTCCATTTGCCTCGAGATCTGATTGGTTGGCCGATTACCAATTGGAATCCAGCTGCAAAGAAAACAGACAAAAACATCCACACTTTCGGGAAAACGATGAGATAGGGATTTTTAGAGGCGATTAGTTCGAATCTGGGGTCCATTCGCCTCAAAATCTTATTGATTGGTCGGAAACCAATAAGAATTCAGTTGCCAAGAAACCAGCTAATCAAACTTGCGTTTTCGGGAAAAAAAATCAGGTAGGGACTTTCGGAGGCGGTGAGTTCGAATTAGGGATTCAATCACCTCAAAATCTTATTGGTTAGTCCGAAACGAATAGGAATCAAGTTTTTGGGAAAACGAATGTCATTGGATGATTGAAGGAAGGACATTAAGAATCGGAAGTCTATTGAGCATGATACTCTATTGGAACACTCGTGGCTCTACTGGGTGACCCATGTCACATACAAATTGAGTTTTAAGAAAATTGGTTTATTGGAGGTAATGTGAGGCGGGGATTTCAAATAAATAGTCTATGAGACGCAATATTTGTTCATCATAGATATCGGCTCCTTAGGTTGCTAAAGAGTTTGTCCCACAAAAATCTTTCTGTCTGTCTTTCTTTACAACCAATCCGAATTCAGTGTAATTCCAGTAGTACGAAGTACGAAATATCGTCGTAATTCTCCCGATCAATGAGTATTATGAACACGACATTCTAGATCAACTAGATGTGTCGTTGTGCTTAGTTTCGATCAAAGCGGATTTTTCTTGCAACGCTGTCGAAGAATCGATTGTCCGTGTGGGCTCCACATTAGAAACACAACTAGACAGCTCTAGAACCGGACACGTGACCAAGCGCAACCGAGGCCAGTTGAGATCGAGGATGATCGAGACAAGTATATGCTCTTATAAATGCTTCACCAAGATAAAAAGTCGATAGAACTCATAAGTTTCATCAAGCTCTTCTAGATCCAGACGTGTATGGACGAGGAATCCTTCACTTCTGATCAATTTTTCAATGCCAATATTTCATATCTGCTGAGAGCGAGAGCAGCCGGGGCCGGGACTTAAAATACGTCCAGAAGCCAGAGTCAGGGCTGGGACAAAAAATAGGATTTTATGGGTGTCTACTCCCTATTGATTAGGTTTTCTTACATGTTCTCGAGAGCAATAGGAGTTTTGCTTGCATATATTAAGATTGAACTTTCCCGAGCAACGCCGGGTACTTCCGCTAGTCTATATGTATAAAAAAGAAAGTTTGTTTGTGCGTTTGTTTGTTCTTCATGCATTTGGACACGGTACGAGCAAATGCAATGAAATTTTGCAGAGAATACCCTTTCGTCCTGAGGAAGGTCAAGAGGGGGTCGGCGCCCCCCCCCCCCCCCCCAGGG